AGTTTCTCCTCATTGTCTTTATAACTTAAAGTCCCCTTTCCTGTATCAATAACCGCTCCGATTTTCTTTAATAGGTTAAATCCTATTAGTAAATCTGCCTCCATTCCATCTATTTCATAAAACACTTGCTTTGTGTTGAAAATTGTTATATTATGGAAATATTTAATTATTGAAAACCCATTCACTGTAGCAACTTTCTTATAGATTGGTAATTCATTTTTATTGTCGTAAATTCCTTTTTTTATATAACAGGAAGTTGCTCCCGTATCTATCAAAACTTTTAATTCTCTGTTTATTTTTTTGTCTACTCTTTTTAGGTAGGGCAGACCTACTTCGGGGGCTGATCTAAAAAATGATCCTCCTCAATGTTATTTATCCTCATTGCTTTATTAGCCGGTTGTTCCGACATTTCGTTTAGTTTTCGTTTCTGCGCTGGATTGTCGTTAGACTGATTATTCGGGACTACGTTTGCCCTAAAATGCTGGGCTTGGCTATAATTGTTATTATTTCTCCTAAAATAACCGTTAGTATTCTCCCGATAATTTCTATTGTTATTATTTCCCCTGAATTGATTGCTGTTCTGTCGGTTCCGGATTTGTATAGATTCGTCTACCTCCATTGGTTCTGGGGCCTGATTTTGTTGTCTATTACCCAAGAAATAGGGTTGTCCCCAAGACATGTTATTCCTCTGCAAATCCCTTTTTTGGTCGAATGGTGAACTGTTAGTCCTAGGTTGTCGTTGGTTGAATCTTAAGGTATTAAAATTATTATTCCCTGAATTTCTGGGACCGCTGAATTGGTAGGCAAATTGGGCCCGAATGTTATTAGATTGCAATTCCTGTACCTTTGCTAAGGCATTCGGTAAATCTGGGGGATTCAATGAAAATAGGATTTCAGCAATGCCGCCGTTTAGGCCAGTGACAAAAATGCGTAAGGCATTGTCTCTAATTTTTTTATTTGATTCCTTGGTGATCTCACTGTCCTTTCCGTGAGTCATTATTGTCTTATTTATTAACAAGGTCATTTTCTTGTTAACCTCGTTATAGAAATCTATAATTGAAAGGTTCCCTTGTCGGAGAACGCTTAATTCCTGTTCTATTATGTAAATAGGTCTCTTGTCACTGTAAACAAAGTCAAGCCGTGAAAGTATGGCATCAAAATTTAGAACTGTCCCGTGGTTGGTCAGTGCGTCATGTGCTGGTCCTGTTATTTTGTTTCTCAAAATTGTTAATGCAATATAATATTGCTTACTTCCTTTCTTATATAACTTCACTGCAGTTTCTGCAGCTTCCCTCCATCCTACATATTGGTTTAATCCACCATTAAAAATTGGTAGGGATTCTATTACCTTCAATGTGGTGTCGTCTCTTATTGTCTCGTCTATTGTTTCTGCCTGATAATCCGATACCTGATCGGATTTAGTTTCTATTTGCTGTTTTAAATTTACAATTTGCTCTTGTACTTGTGAAATTTGAAGTGCTATCAATTGTTTGACCAGATCTGCTGTGAGATCGGTCCTTGCTTGAGAGTTAATCATTTTTAGTTTTTCAAAATCTAAAGTTAGCTGATCCACTTTTAATTTTTCTTATATGTTAGTTTTTATAATCTTATATATCCTAATTGAACTTATATATTTATTAATACAACTCTTGCTCACGAAATATCCGGTAGGGGTCGTCCTTCTTAGTTTGGCAGATCTTCGAACGGGTCTTCCTTCTTAAATTTCTTTGCTCAGCTGGGTCTTCTGGGGGTCTTCCTTCTTTGGCTTCGCTGATCGTTTCACTTTCTTTGTATTTTGGTTTTGTCGGTTTTGTTGGTTTTGTTTTTTTAAAAACTTTGGGTTTCTTTGGTTTTTTTTGTATTTACGAATTGCCTTGATTAGCTTTTTGTTTTATTTGTATTTTGCGTTGTATTTGTATTTGTATTTGTATTTGTATTTGTATTTGTATTTGTATTTGTTTTTGCACACCCTAAGCTCCGGTTTGTTTCCTTTTTATCTCACTTTTTTTTATCTATATCACACAGTCACTCCGCGTTTTTAATTTTGAAGGATTTATTCCATTAATTAATTGTCCTTCGGGTTTCGGCACGACGCAACACTTTTATCATTCGGTGCTTTTTAGACAACGTCGCCCCACGTTGGGCGCCAATTAAACAACTGCGGTAGCGGATTGTGTTTTTAAAAAGTTTTTATTTTACTTCGAACTTCACTGATATAGATTTAAGTAGAGGGTCACAAAGGAATTCCGGGCCAAGGGATTGCGCGATCTTAATATTTAGCTAGACTTTGCGGTGTCGCTGCTGGATCAAGACTGATTTGAACTTTCTGATCTTTGCATCGTTGATCCCTTTCGGGAATCATTTTTCTATAAACATTTCAATTGATTTCGCCATCCCGAGTATTGGATTTCGTCATCCAAAGAGAGAACTGTAAAAGGCCTAAAGTGCAGGATCTGCAGAAAGCCGGGAGTGAGATTGTTTATGAGAAGCCGGGTGTGGGCAAACATTGGTTTTCCATTTAGGCGAGTGTCAAAGATTGGGATTGCGGCGGGGGCGCTTGAGATTGTACATCTTAGAAATCAATTAGGCGGAGGCCCAAGATTGAAATTGTTTTCGTTTTGGAAAGCCAAAGATTGTTTACAACTCGTATAAGAGCTCAATGGAATTGGGTACGTTAACTTGCATTCGGCCTTGAATGCTTTGGTTCGAGATGGACACCCACCAGGAACCTCTGTATAGCCGATCCACATGATCCAAAGATGGAAAGGTCAAAGCGATCTCAATGGAAATATACTCTAAAAATAGGAACATATGTACTCCCACCCAAGGCGGAAGCGGTTTGCCCTTCAACCCTGCTTGTTGTAATCGTAGCTGGTTGGGGAATATTTTCTTGTCTTTGTATAAACAATTTTAGAGGAATTCGGATATTTGGAATATATTGTATTGCAGCACGTGGGAAGGCTTTTATACTCTTTGAGAGAGGGTATCAGGATTATGGGCAGGAGTTTGCAGAGAACAGTATTTGGAAGAAGATGTGCGGATCGGAGAATGGATATTGAGGGCATCCGAAATATCCATATATATAGTTTAAAGAGTCTCTTAACTGCCACTATATACCTACGTATAATTAGAAAAACCACAAATTAATATTCTTTGGTCAATGATTTGAAATGTATATTATTTTCCATGAAGAAATTGTTCAAATAATCATTTTTCGTGCATCTTTATTTTATAATCCAATTCCATTTTATCAAAATGGAACTATCATCAAAGATTCATTTATTCAAGGTGCTTTTGTTTCTTAGAGAATTGTTTATTTATTCGTCGAAGGCATGTGGGTGAAAATGGCTTTTCCATTACCGGGAAACTAACTTCGAGCTAATGGAAAAAATAACCAGAAGAGAAAATAGCAAATAAACTGAATGTGCATTCCACAAAAACACAAAAACAAAGGAACTTTAAAGAGGGGAAGCCAATGGGAATTTCCGAATGAAAATGGCAAATTATGTTTTTAGATAATTTGCTAAATTTTTGTATTATTAAAAGTGCAGAGTTCAGGGAATAATTCAATACCACAATTGACGCACTTCCTTTGACCATTCAGGAAGTGCAACAAAATGAGAAAGTTAACATGATAAAAAATATGTATATAAAATCTACAAGAAACGACAATAAATTGTGTAGATATTGTTTAAGAAACATGGGATTATATGTGGGCTAATTTGGTTGGCTTTCATTTTACGATCATCGCCAGCGTCATAGAATTTTCGATTTTGGGCCTTCGCAAAACAATGAGTGGGCGCAGTGGCAGCCACCACACTATCTATCAGAAAGCTTTTCCCATAACTGATCATTCGAAGCTTTTACACAGATACAGATGCAGAACACACACAGATGCGGACACACATGTAGAGCAACCTACGCCGTAAAGGAATGCGCAGTGCTTTTTGGGGCCGGAACGAAATGGCAAAAGTCTGAAACGAGTAAAATTGGTGAGGCGAATTTTCTTGGGGTTTGCAGTTTGAAAAAATTCTTCGTTGAGGATAGATCGCTATTTTTTAGGAGTAATTTTAAATTGTAAGCCAACTGAAAATCCAACCAAAAAGAAAAGAATTCTTAATAAATACAAGTAAATAATAAATATCAATTCGAATCAAATGAAATCAATTCAAATTGATTAAAACACACTCAAGTGCAATTATCACCGACTTAAAGTGAATAAAACTCATTTCTGTTGACAAATGATGGAATTATGAGCGAATTATGAATAAAACAGAATTTAAAATTCAAAGACCTCAACGATTACATAAGAGGCCACGACCCTCAATGACATTTGATACCGAAAAGTGTTAAAATTATTCGCAGAATTTGTGTGCAGTGAAACCCTAACAAAGAAAAACTTTAAGTGGAAAATGCTGAAGAATTTCCAATATTTGTTGAAGATTTTTCAATTAAAACTTTTTTAAAGCAAGTCAATTCAGACGAAAGCCAGACAAAAATAAAGAACAAATTAAACTCAAGGACATTTAAAAATAAAATAAAATTTAGCTGCACCTCATACACAGATACTCTCACTCACAGATACAGAAAAATAGATATCTAGAAGATAGCTTTATGCCAGTTCTCATACATCCAAGTGTGACATTTTTTATGTATTTGAAACAAAAAACTGAACCAAAAAAATCAACTTATTTTTAGTGAGATTGATCTTGTGAGATTGTCTGGTATTTTATTAGATATACTATATATGTATATATTTTATAAACTTTGCACTGCTCTAAAGTGGCACACAGTCTGTTTATTTTCGAACTGAGAGACTTTCCGAGCCAAAATCCAATCCAAACTGAATCGAAAACGAGAGAAAAAAGATTGTGCGTGCTGACATTTCTCAGGCGAAAGAGAGAAAGAGAGAGCAACGAGAAAAACTCTTTCGGAAAATTGAAATAAATTTGAAATGGGAAAATAGTTAAAAACGAATTTCTCTCCAACTTTGTTTGCAGCGAACGAGTTCAACGAATAATTCGTGAACAGAACAGAACAGAACAGAACAGAAACAAATCGATCAAAATGTTCAAGAACCATTTGGAAATGATTGGGCGCAATGAGAGCCCCAGCAAGAAGGCCAAGTTCTGGCAGTCTTACATTAGATCCCTGAAGGGTAAGTAACCATTATCCCATTAAGAAGGAACATGCTACATCCTACAATAAATAATGATTTAGATCTTTGACTTTAGCCTACAAAAATAGCAAGCAGAGAGGAGGCTACGGCTACGCAAATAGCCTGGCCCATATAGAAAAGATTCTATATTTCTCCTCTATATATAATCTATTTCTTTTGGCAGGTGTCATATCAGCCAGGCTATATACTTAGCCACGCTCACTTGCTAGAGAGCTTTTTCGCAGTCCGAAATATATAGAGTGAAATATTTGAGCAGGCCTCAAACAAAAGCAAAAACTCACACCCAAAAAATATACATAGATGTATTCCTATGTCGTTCATGTATCCGTGTATCCGAGTATCCGTGTCCGAGTATATGATAGAAACAAAATAGAAATCAACTTTATTTTGTGCTTTGGCTGGCATTGAGCCAAATAGTGGAAATAGCTGAAATATTTGAAAAGCAATGAACTAACACACAGGGGTATGGTATCTGCGTGTATTTATAGGCTCTGAGGATATCCGTGCCCACGAGACGCCACGGGCATCCCGTCCCTACAGCGCATACCTGGACAATCCCACCTACAGGAGCATCTATGATGAGCCTGCCACGGCCAACGAGCGCGTCCAGTCCTCTGGCTACAGATATCTGCCCGTGAGCCGCGACACCTATGGCTACTCGCCACGCGCCATCTACGATCATCATTACAGCCGCACAAGTAAGTCCGGAAATCCAATAAATGGGAATTCGTCATCCTATGCAAATCCCCGCCAATAACTTCAACACACAGCTAAGAATTGTTTTGCCTGAGAAGCATTTACTCTCCACTATGGCCTTGCAAGTGACAATAATCTTTATGGAAGTTTCTAAATTGCATTATTTGTTTGATCCTGATGTAAACAAGCAGCTGTGTCTGTCCGGTATTGATAGAAAATTGGCAAAAACTTCATTTTATATCTCAAAAACTGCTTGATATTTTACCGTTTAACTAAAGGGAAATATATTTATCTTTCAAAATATCTATCTATTGCTGAGGGAACTCCCAATCAAATCAAATAGGAATTTGTTTACTTCCTTAAAAACAAACTCAATCTCAACTCGTACAATGTCAGCGTAAAAAGATAATCATACAGCTTTCACAAAAAGATATAAAACTTAACATATTCCTCAAAATATCGTAAAAGAAAATCAGGCAAAATCAGGAGATTCTTTCGACCACCCATGTACCATAAATATATAGCAGCCAGACAGGTGTGAGCATCACCTGATTGCAGCTTGCAAGGTTATATAAGGCTTCGGTTGAACCGATTGGCATAAGCTCTTTTGGTTTTCTATCACCCTTCGATGCGCCATCAATCAGTTTGGCCAATTCACACGAGTCATGTCATCTCAATCATGCCTCATACTCGTATGCCGCAATCATTCCTGCCACAAACAGCTTTTGACAAACACCTTGAATATTTCAGCTCTGCCATCATTTAACAATATTTTCCTATACCTATTCCGATTCCCGATGCTCTTTGTGGGCGCTATGATTTCATAATTTTAAAAATAAAATAAAATGCCAGCGCAGAAAAGCTAAAACAGTATTACGTCAATGAAAGATTCGTTTCGTACCGTATCGTATCGTCGTGATTGTATTTGTGTTTGATTTTTGGCAAAAAGACCTACAAAATTTTACACATGCTCATATGGGCACACACAAAGGCAGATGCTGCATGGATGTGCTATATTTCTGTGAGAGTGTATATCGGAATCAGGTATATAGGCGGAGCAATTTTTGACTCAATTTTTTGGTGCGTGCTCTGGGATCAAATGACTGTGGCGGCCCTCAAAGAGCAGATCCCCGGCACCCAGACATATAAAGAGTTGTCTTGTATTTTTTTTTCAGATATTCCACACACACACACACATAGATACAGGCAGTAGCTCTCCATTTCCCCTCCCTCAACATGTTTCGACCTGTACACCCCCGTTCGCCTAAATTATAGTTTTGTTTTTCCGTTTTTTTTTGGACTAACCAATTGTTTGTTTTCTCTTTCTCTCTCTTTCATAAATGTTTCAGAATATACATAAATGTATGTCGTCAAAATAAATACACATATATATCCGAGCGATATATATCTATTTGATATTTTATGCGCACTCTCTCTCGATATATATTCAAATATAGTATATATACAATACATATTTGTTGTTCTCTCTAGGCAAAAAGACAACTTAAATTTAGTGAAAAGGATTTTGTGTAGAATTTAGATGAATTATCATAGTCGGAGAATGATTTAGATTGAGTATACATAAAAATACTACATCTGTATGTTTTGGTGTGTGAAATAAACGAATAATTTGAAACGAATTTTGCTCTCTTTGTGGTGCTTCCATCCATCGATCCATCCATCCATGCATCGGCTCCATACAGGGTTTGCTATGAACTCCATTTTTATATAAGCCCCCACTAAAATCCGCATTTCATCCAGCATTTGGCATTATCATTCCTAAGATATGGCTTTCTTAATATTTATTTACCCGATTCCTTTTCTATTCTATTTGCTATTTGCTGCTTTTGCTTTTGATAACCTTGCTTTCTGGGATTGCGTATGTATCAAATATTGCGCATACGTCGTGTGAGCCCAAGCTTTCAAGAGAATACTTTCTGTAAGCCACCTTTTTTGTTGTTTTATTTTCAATATTTTTTTTGAATGCTTCAGTCTATGTTTTAACCAAATTATGACTAATTTTAATGATTTTTCTTCGGCTAACAGTTCCAGCCAACTACGATGCAGAGAAGGCCTGGAATGATCATCTGAAGCGCATGCAGGAAATCGAGCGCAGGTGGGTCTCCCGTCCCGACCATATATTTTCTCAGATAATTAATTGTTTTTATTATTTTACAGATACCCATCTCGCTACGGTCTCTACTTGAGGGACAAGCCACTCACACCCAACTCTCTGGTGCCTTTGGAGTATGAGCCAGAGGACAAGCTGCTGGCGGAGCTCAACAAGGGTAAGGACAAAAAAGACATTTACTAAAATCAAAAACAAATCCAAACCAAAAAAAAACCAACACCAACATCAACAGCAAAAAAGTAAACAACACCACAACAACAACAACAACATCAACGAAAAATTATGATTAATTACAAAATGTAAGCACGAACAACAACAAAATCTACAAACATTTAGAAAACAAAAAAAATAGCAAATCAAATTTAACATCAAATACGAACTCAACGAAATTTTTTCAAATTCAGCCACCAACAAAAAACAACAAAAAAAAAAAACATTTTTGCAGACTTTGTGTCTTAATCGAAATTTTGTTTAAACCTATATTTTTGCAGCTATAAAAGTTTGAAGCGCTGAGCGTTAGAGAAAAAATACATATATAAATGGTTAAAGTGATATCCACTTTTGTTTGCTTAGCACTTAGTAAGACTCTTGTAATTTAAATGCAGAAATTGTTAAACTTAAACGAAACGAAAATTAATTGTACCAACCACCGATACGAGTATATTCTTTCTGTCTGTAAAAAGGAACCAACCCCGAACCCCCAGCAATAGTCGCAATCGATTGAATATTTCGTTAAATGTTTCATTGTATGATATATATATATACTTATATAAAAATGCTTTATTTTAATTTTTAACTTATACAAAATCAACAACAACAACAGCCAAAACAAACGTAATAAAACCACCAACAAAACATTTATAAAAAAAAAACAAATTCTAATTTTAATTTTAGTCATTAAATATATTTAACGATTCCCATCTATCCATCCATTCAACCATTTGCCATATATAAAACCAACAACCCATCCCCATCCATACAGCCCCTGAAATAATCTTAAGCCTTTCTTCTAACAGCTGCTGTACCATAGAAAGAGCCTACCTTTTTGCGCTAAATCAACTTGTCGAGCCCACAGTAGCCCGCTGGCAAATCCCCCGAACAAAGAACACTCTTTTTGATCCTCAAATTACTTTAAAAAAACAAGAAACCAACCATAATTAATAATAAAAAAAAAAAAACATATTTAATACCAATGAAGAAAATGTGTGTTTTTGGAACTATTTCTCATCCAGGAGATTCGATTTTTGGTCTTTAATTCTCTAACAAATCATCTGCATTTCGATATTAATCTGTCAATGTCTGAATCCTTGTCCAGATCGCTGTCGTCTCTCGTCTTGTCTTTCTCGTCTCACTACTAAAATCAAAGCATAGAAATTCACATTACACTGTGCGGTGCCTGTAAATAAACTGCCAAAAAATACTCTCTAAAAATTATCCTAAAATATACTCTAAAAACTAAAAGAAAACCAATATGCAAAACACAAATGAAATATTTAACGAATTGTCAAATGAAAACAAACTCTATGTTCCATGTTCTCCTTCTTCTTGGCAGACAATTGAACGATTGAATTTTTTCTGGAATTCCTCCCAATATGTAATTACCGATTTTGTATTCGTGTTTCGTGCCCACAGTATTGTGTAATTTTGTACTATGTATTTTGTTTAGTATTGTTGATTGTTCTCCATTTACATATTTCAATATTTCTTTCAACGTTGGGTTGGTGATTGTTTTTTCTGCTGGTAAGTATATTGGGAGGGAACTCTCTCTCAGTCTTTTGCTAGGTTCACAACGGAGATTGAGATCACAAACTTTGAAAGTCATTTACCCAGAAAGAGATGAACTAATAATGCAAAAACCCATGATGAAAATAGTTGAAAGACTTTTAAAGGCTATTCAAATATTTCTCAGAAAACATAAGCTTTCTTTCGAGAGTTCCCAGTACCCAAGCACAGCCTCTCTCTGCAGGATTAGTTGGATTTCCATGGAGTATTACTGATCGCTCTATCGACATTTGCTTGCAGCTCGTCGCTCGGCCTCGCCGTTCCGTCCCACGCGCAGCACACGCGCCGGCAGCGAGCCCTATGTGCCCGAGCCAGTGTACTGGAACCGCGAGGGCAGCGTGCCCCGTCGCGGACCCTCGGTGTTCGACCGTGCCACCAGCTTGGCCCCGTTCACGCGTCCCAGCTTCAGGGCCAGCTCGCTGGAGCCCTTGGATGAACTCTTTGAAAGTAAGTTGCCCGCGATCGCCGAGGCCGGTGCGGTGGCAGCCGAGGCGGCTGCTGCTACACGGCATTTAGGCATTTTTGAGCGCGCCGGCTCGCCAAGTCCCACTCCTGTCAAAGCCGGTCGCTGGGGACCCCGTTCCACCGAAGTCGCCTACGATGCTGAGGGTAAAAATCCAAATTTCACTTTATCTTTCCCCAAACCTCAAAAACCAACCAAAAAAAGAACAAATTTGTCTTTGGTGCAAGAAGAGGCGAAAGTTGCGTGTTGTTGTTGAATTTTATTTGACTATTTTTTGTCGGCTTCTGTTGCCTCCCGAAAAGCGAATCGCGCTACCCAAACCAAACGATGATGGAGGTGATGATAATGGGCAGCGAACGTGTTGAAAAATGATTGCCATATTTTTCGTGATGCGTTCGCCTCCTCCACACTCCACGTGTGTGTGTGTGCGTACGGCTCTATAATTTGTCAAAATTATTTCCACTCCTTTGGCTTCGTCAGCGCACTGGTGTACGTATATGTATGTCGTGTTCTGTACCAGCAGCAGCATCAGCATAAAGTAGTACAGTTGTGCCCAAAGCGTAAGCGCCGTGCTTTGAGTCTACGAATGCAAATCGATTCAATACGAATCAATGTACATGAAATCCAATATCGAAACGGTTTCAAAGACCATGTAAAGCTTTGTTGAACCGATTTGCATTCTTGTAAGAAGAACCAGAACCCCACATTCTCCCCCAACTGGTTGGCTTATCGATATGCTTACCGTAGCGCCTGCCATTTCTCTCTCTCTCTCTCTATAAACATGTATCTCTCTCTCTCACTTTATAAATCTCTATTTATCTTGTCTATCTATATCTATATCTATCCACATATTTTTATATCATTGAGTCCTATTCCTATTTATTTGGCATCGAAATCCCTTGGTATATTTTCCACAACGAAACCCCAACATACGCATGGAAAATATCAAAAATTACTGTTTGTTAAAGCGTTGTTCTTTTTTTTTTTTGTTTGATTTACTTTTATTTTAGTTTAAAAAACCATAGAAAAAACAAAAAATATTTTTCTTTCTGCTCTTCTTGTATACATTGCAACAACAACCAATCAAAAAATACCAAACCCAAAACCAAATCGAAAAAAATCTACAACATCCGATTGTACTCGTATACCCCACAATATGCACCACACACACAACAATACCCACAACTATGACGACTATGCTACCATATGAAACAACAACAAATAGGACTTCCAATCTTCCATCCACGCAACCGCTTCAGGGATTTGCTGAGCCCCAGCCCCAACTTGCCAATCTCCTCGATTGTGCGCGATCCCTTCTGGTGGGATGTGGATGATCTGGTGCCGTTCCGTGCTACCTCGGTGCCACGTGGCTCGAGCCCCGTGGCCCGCGATTCGTACTTGTCGCCGGTGAAGAATCGCTACTTGTGGTCCAAGCACCCCGCTAGACCCTTGACACGTAAGTCACCTCTTCTTTCAAGAGCTTGGATTGGGTTTTGCATTTGGGTCTTACCAATTAGCAAACTTGTAGCCAATTTCTGATTATATATTTGGTTCTTATGGAATTGCTAAGACCCGTGCTGTATATAGAAACAATTGTACATATTTTTTAATTGGTAAACGATCCCCTTAGAGAGCACTTAGCAGATCCCCACGAAGGCATGAGAGAAATAAACTTCCATTAAGTTCAAAAAATTTATATATTTAATCTCATTTGGTTTTTCCATAAGAAACTTTGTTTACAAGGAAGAACCATTTGGGATTAAACGTTCAACTTTCTTTCATGTTTTAGATAAACTTTTTGATACCCCAAAAACATTTACAATTCTTTTTTAACTTTATTATTTATATTTTATTTACATTTTAATTGTCATAAACAGCTGAGGCAGAGGATATATACTAAATTCGAACAAACAAATAGATTCAATATCACAAAAATCGTTAGCTATAATAACAAAAGCGACGCTATATCAATCATATAGCAATTCTGTAATTTTTTTGTACTTAATTTTACATAAATTACATGTAACGAACTGTAAGAAAAAGAAACAAATTGGTAAGAAAAAGAACACAACAAATCGAAGCATGTGAAAAACCCCACAGTAAAATTTGTTCATTCAAGAAGCTACGCCATTGACATGTAGTGTCCACACCCAGAACCCGAGCCCTCCATTAAAATGAACCCTGTAGTACCCTGTATTAGTAGTAGTCCGCACCACGTAGAGTTGATAACATATACTAGATATAGAAAGTATGTATGTGAATAATATGCAAAGGTGTTCACCAGTTATGAAAACTGCTTTTTTGTAAAATCGAATACTATTTAAAATTGAAGAAAACTAAAATCTTTTAATTAAACAGTTTCTTGAACTCTTGAAACCCTTTAAACATTATTTAAAAATTGTATTTAACATATGTAGCCAACATTATTTGCTCAATTCTTTGCACGCCACGTATTTCTTGCAACTATTATTATGTGTTTATTTAGAAATATGTTGAACATTTGTATTAAAACATTCGTATTATCTCACTCCCCCACAGCACACCGCTCAATTTTGTAAACGAACGAAACAACGAACTAAAACCACTGCAACTTGAACAACAACAACAAAAACGAATGCATCACAAGGGGCCCCCAAAAACAACGACTTTAGACTTTCCGAAGAGCTGGAAATCCTAGTCCAAAGTAGCAAAAGGTGTAAAACCCTTTCCGTAGTCTTAATATCCTCCAACAACGTTTGAATTTTTTCAAAACTGCAAGATCCCCCCTGGGATGAACATCCTCCCAGAGCTTATGCTGGGGGTTCTATTAACTTTTGCCAAAAAGAAGTGCACACTTCCCGTAGTTAAAACGATATAAAAAAGAAGAAATGAAAACCGAATCAAACTCTTTCTATAATTTTTATTTTCTCAATTTAAGATCATGTCTTATTTTTTAAGTGCAAGTATATGAAAAAAAAAATCGATTTACATTTATTATAATAAAAGCATAAAATCTTATGACCACCCTTCCGAAATAGAACCATCGAACGGTAAATGGGTGCCATAAATTGTTCCTTTTTTGTATATTTTTAGATGCTAAAATTATGAATATTTATGTAACTATTTGTATTTGTAAAACACAAACGTCTCTGTCGCGGAGAGCGAGAACATTTTGAAAACTGTAAACGGATGAATTTATTAATGTTTTTTGAATGATTCTATAGGATAACATGGATATGGATAACTGCCAAACCACATCCAACATTCGGCTACGCCATATATCCATACATGTTCTGATACTTTCAATTTGTAATAAAACTTCAACAAAAAAAAAACAACAAAATTAATAATAATAAAAAAAAACTTCTAAAAACCTAAGCAGAATTTTTGTTTAATGATTTCACAATTTCGGATGGTCCGTATATATTTTGAGTCCCAAAGTAATTTCTTATTGGGCGCCGAAATACACAAAAAAAAAAACTTAAAGAGATTTCTTGGATAATTCATTTGAAGTACGAGTAAACAAGAGAATACGAATTTCGAACTCAGTTGTAAGCCGTTTATCAACCATTTATTTATGATAAACGTGTGGAAAACGATTATCAATCGATGGTTCATGTTATGTGCGCCTTTAGCTATTTTAAAATAACCAAAAATTTGAAAAGTATTATTGTTTTGTAATTAGGAAATTACCACTTTCAAAAGCGTGTAGCAAAGAAATTTTTTGGCGCCACTCATCTCAATATTTCTATGGCCTCAGATGGGACTGTAGACTAATGCCCGTACATCTTGTTAGATTAGATTTACCAAAGTCTTGTACAAGTGTGCGCTCAAAATGTCTAGTACTCTAATGGATTATACTCGTATGTATTTAGATACTCCTAAAAATCGAAGGTATATACATTTCTACATATACCCTTGAACCCTGTCAGAATTGTAAACGAAATGAGGCCAAGTCAACTTTCATTGAGTTCTGTTTTTCCCCGTTTCTCTAGTCCCCAATGTGCCCCCTTTGTGTAGCAGCTTTTGCCATTTATCTTTTCATTTACTGCCTCATTGCTCCATTTTTTTGTTGTGTTACTTTGACGTTTTTGGCGTTTAGCACGCAATTGTTTCGCACTTCTCGGTCGCTCATATTCCCCGCCGCCTGCCATTTGTCTATGCCAGGACTCTGGCAGAGTCTCCTTTGGGGAGCTATGGATGCCGTGGAGCCTGGCAAGTACTTGGTGCATGGAACACGCTCAATGGTGTTTGCTCTCCAATCGCCTTAATTTTCTTTTCTTCTTCCATTCACTGGTCATTTGTGACTACTTTTTCGTCAACATATATATTGCGTTTTTTCATTCATTCTATTTAATTATTGATTCTAACGAATTTTTGGTATTTGCCAAAGGTCAATGCAATGTCAGACTCAACTCTACTCCTGGGGATTTCCAATGCCAGTTTCTATAGCATTTCAATTGCTTTTTAACAACGCTCCTTCCCTCCAGAGTATTCCTCTGTGTGTGAGTAATTTTTTGTGTTTTGTGGGGGAAATGGAAAATGTTCGCCCAGTCACGTGCAGACTTTGAAATTTTCGTGTTCCTTTCGGCTCGTTTAATTAAAAATTATATTAATTTCCATCACAGAATACATGCACATACTCGTATAAATAAATGTGTAGTATAATATCCCACATTAACAATCCAAATCCGAGCTGGAAGCAGACCAATATTGTGTAGTGCTCAGTCATGGCAAATGCTTTGTGTGAACGAGATGAATGTTTTCCCTCGTCTATTGTTCTTCTTCCTCAATGGGTTGGGTTGGGTTTTTGCTGAGTGAGAATGTTTTTAGGGTAAAACGAAAGAGAGGGGCTCTTCTGACCGTGATTCACGCATTGGTCTATCCGTTGCCCTGTCAAGTTTAATTGACTTCTTAAAGCCAACATGAGCAGGCAAAGATGAGCGATGGAATAAAGGGAAATCTCTAAGGAATATATAAATATATACATAGATGGCATGATGAAATGATGGAATAACCATTAAATACTCATTTTTGTTTCCGTTTATTGGTTTTCTATCATTAATTAAAATTTTCAGACCATATCCTTACACGAATAGTCTCTTGACTTGGTTCAACCAAGTAATGAGACTACGTTTCAAGGCCTTACTTCCTTTTACTTATAGTTGAAACTGTTATAAGAATTCTAATAGCGGTGGAAATTGCAAATCCAAGAAAACCCTGCATAGCAGAAAATATTGTCATTTAAACAGCTTTAAAAACTTTGACCACATCCTGTTTTCGCTCAAGTTCACATTCCAGGAAAAATGTAACCTGAAAAATTTGTAATTGCACTCCCAAGAAAAAATCTATAACCGGAAATGTATGACAACCTTCATACTCATAAATTAATAAAAATAATTATTTTAGCTTCGAATACTGTACTTCATTCCTCTAATATTTTTCTTAATTTTCTAGGAGAGCAATGATAGTCGTTATTAAAACTTTGACAACCTTAAAAACTAAAATACCAGGAAAAACATCAACCAAAAATTGTAAACAATTCAAAAGTTTACAAGGTTTTATGTAAAAAGAATAAAGTTGTGGGCTAAATCTTTTCAAAAAAGACACACTTAATTATCAGCATATACACATTGCCTTTTGCCGAGCAGAGCTCAGCATTTTTCCAACTTTGACATCCTTTAACTTCTGTTTCTAACAGGAAAAATGTCACCCTATTATATTTTAAATTGCAATACCAGAAAAAGTGTACAAACCGAACGTTAGTTGAAACCAAATTGCGGTTCATGTTATCTGTCAAAACGTTTGGATGTCCCTTTTCTGGCTGCTGCTCATCTGCGGCTTTGGGCCAGGCAAGGCCTGTTGCTGACGGGCCTCAGTCTGGGCCCGAACTGAAGATTTATGTCTTGTGTGGGAAAGTTTTTTTCTGCTATTTTGCTGGTGGCTTGTTGGCCATCAAATACACGTGCCTGAGAGTTGGCCATAGCTGACAGTTCCTGTGCTAATTGGTATGGGTCGCACTCGCTCTCTCTCTTGGCCACTTTAAATGCCTGTCACAAACGAATGCCTCACACACATATGGCCAATGAAATTGCCCCCCGAAAAAGCATTCTCTAATTTAAGGCTTGCATATTCCATTGTCATCCGTTTCCTCCTTAAAAAGGGTATATTTGTAAATTGTTGGCTACACTAAGCTGAATGGAAAGCGAAGTCAGGCGTGGAATTTTGTTTGCTTGAGTGCCGCTTGGGTCAATGAAATTAATTACAGAAAACACACACAAATTTAATTTATCCATCCTAAAAGCAGACAGGAAGTTAAAGCAGAATGAAAGTGAAAAGGTTTCAATTGATGGTGTCCCGTGGTTGTGCTGAGTGCAGTCTACCCCAGAGAACAGTCACCAGACAATCAGCCTCCCTTTAACTGATGGTTTTCGCCACCAGCATCCTGGAAATCCCCTCCATCTGGGCAACCCCCCTGATGAAAGGTGCTTGAACTGTCTGTTATGGAGGCAGCTTTAATTATTTGTGATTATTATTTTGCGGAACCCCTGGCTGCCAGAGCTTTTCTGAAGGTTAAGTTAAAGTTAAATGAGTGTTCAGCAGAATATTGGGCCGTAAGAAGAGTAGTAAGGACCCCTCTTTCCCAGAATATTGTGATGAAAGTTAAGCTAGAACAAGAACAATAATTTAAAGCATCGTTAAGATAAAATCTCTATTTCCACTCACCAACTGCATCAGGTTTCCTTTTACAAAGCCCTCCTACATCGCTCATACGCCATGCTGGCTGGATGCTTTTTCTTAATGCAACAGCTGCTCCTACTAACAAATCCCTACCCACATACCAAACTGCGCGAGAGTGGGAGGTACTAGGAGTATGACTAACAAACTTTGCGGGGGCCAAAAGCCAGGCAAACAAAATAAGTATGAGGGCGGAAAACAACTTTGTCATTATCCCAGCCACAACACCTGAACCACCAACAGACAAAGAAAAATGCTGGTAAGTAGTAGTAGTAAAACTTATTCCTCTTTCAGCTCTGCTTCTGCAGCTCCAACTACGTTTTGTGTACTCTCACGGAAAATTGAGGGAAACAAGTAAGAATAGTGTGAAAGTAAAACGAATATGGACTACCCGCTACTCTGTTGTGTGACAGGCTCCCAAAGAGTAAAGGAAGAGTTTTTGACCTCATAAACTGTATATATATTCTTGATCAGTATCAATAGTATCAATATCTGTTACTGATACTGAGAAAAGAGTATTTATTGGTGAAATTTTTAAATTCCATTGCGAAAAGAAAATATCTATTTTTTATTTCATATACATTTTGGCTTTTCATTTTTATTTAGCACTAAAAACATCCATAAGATTGGAATATACCTATACGTAAAAATTCATACCCCACAAATACCGTGCAAAAAAAAAACAAACTCTTAGATTAAGCCTTAAGCTGGTGTTTTTCTCCTTTTACAGTTCCTTGGACTGCAGCATTGATTGATCAGCCATAAGCTGATTAATGTGTCCAGCCGGAGGAACCCGCAAAATCCATGGCAACGATGCGGCAAGTGATTAGCTGGAAGACATATCCATCTTCGTTCCATCGCGAGCTGCGTAACTTTAGCCGCGAACAAATTAAGAGGAGAGAATCTTCAGGGCCGTTGTTCAGGTCATTTGTCATAAACATTATATTGAACAAGCTTTGTTCGTCCGGCACCCACTGTCACCGCAGCCAAATCTGCATGAAACGAAGGTCAACCCTTTCCCAATTTCCGCAGTAGCGGCAGCCTTGAGCTTGCCACAAGCATGTCCAAGGATGCGGAAGTGATTACTTTCAGGTCTCTTTCGAAAGAAGCACTGAGTGGGCTTTGTGGCGCTTTCGGTGCCTCCTTCTGTCACGTGAATTATGAACGAGCTGTGCGTATATGTCGCACTCTGTGTGTGTGTGTATAGGGGCCCGAAAAATGTTCAATTTTTCCCTCTTCGTTCAAAAGCTTTAATGTGGAAATGGAATTTCAATGTTTTCGAATTTTTTGGAAATTTAAGTTGGACGTTGAGTGGAACAAGGTTTCCCGA